TAATTCTTCCTTGTTCTTGGATGAAGATTTCTTCCTTCTAGCACGATAGCCCTTCTTCACCATGATCTTGCTAAATCTCTTCACAAAGAGAGTCATCTTCTCATCATCATCATCATCCCAAGAGAATGAACCTTTATTTTCACTTGATGTGTCTTGCTTGGCCTTGCCCTTGGATGATGTGGCTTTGAATTCACACTCTTCTTCTTATCATCCTTCTTCTCATCTTTTATCTTCTTATTTTTTTTCTTCTCATCATCATCTCTATATGCATCATCGGTCATGATATCTCACAAGATTTGGTTTGGTGTCATTGTGTCCAAACCGGTCCTCACTAGTAAGGTGACCAACATGCCAAATCTTTCGGGTAAGCATCTTAAGAACTTATGAGAAAAGTCCTTGTCCTCCACTTTCTCACCAAGTGCTTTGAGATCATTGACAAGCACCTCCATCCGATGGAACATGTCCAGCACACTCTCATCTTCCTTCATCTTGAAGCTAGCAAATTTCTCCTTGAGAATGTATGCCTTTGCACCCTTTATTGCCTTGGTGCCCTCAAATAATTCCTCCAACTTATTCCAAGCCTCATGAGCCATCTCAATGTTCTTGATTTGCTCAAATGTCCTCTCATCAATAGCATCATGAATGGCACTAAGAGCGATGTCATTGTTTTGGAGAAGCACATCTTCGACCGTGGTGGGATTTTTTGGATCAGCTATCTCAATTTTGACCTCCACCACCTTTCACACCTTTCTATTGATTGACTTGATGTGTGTAGTCATCTTAGACTTCCAATATGGATAATTTGTGTCATCAAATTGGGGTGGCTTCTTGGTGTTGTTGATTTGAGCCATTTTGATACCGAAGGTTGTTAAGCCTCAAATCACGATGACCACAACTGCGATACCACTTGAAAGGTCCTAATGGCTAGAGGGAGGGTGAATAGCATATTGACAATTTCTACAACAACACATAGCAAAGATGTTAGACAATTAAACAGCAAAGTGAGTGTTGCGCTAGCCTACTAAAAACGCAAGCCACCTACCATAATTCTAGTGACTATAATCTCTAAGCACACAATGGCTATGTCACTACACTAAGTTAGTGTGCTCTCAAAGGCTAACTAAAGAGCCACACTAACCACTAGACCCGACATAAGCTTGCTCTCAAAACTAATTACACTAAAGAGCGAAGCAACACTAGAAATGTAAATGCAAGGTAGGGGATGTGATGATTATACCGCCGTGTCGAGGATAGAGCCAATCACAATATGATGGAGCCAATCAATCACAATAAATCAATGAATACTAAGAAAACCTCGGACAAGGTGACACAAGATTTTTTACCGAGGTTCACTTGCTTGCCAGCAAGCTAGTCCTCGTTGTGGCGATTCACTCACTTGGAGGTTCACGCGCTAATTGGCATCACACGCCAAACCCGCAACCGGGTGTCGCACAACCAACACAAGATGAGGATCACACAAGCCACGAGCAATCCACTAGAGTTGTCTTTGGTGCTCTGCCGGGGAAGGCACAAGAACCCCTCACAATCACAATGATTGAAGCCAGAGATAATCACCTTCCTCCGCTCAACAATCCACCAATCATCGGGCCGTCTAGGTGTCGGCAAACACCAAGAGTAACAAGAACTCCACCAGCCCAAATCGCCCAACTAGTGCCACAAGATGCTAGAGCACTAAGCAATGCACTAGAGGCTCTTCAATCTCACTCAAGATGATGAAATCAAGTGTACAAGTGAGTGGAGTGGTATGCTCAGCTCTCAAAGGGTGTATGCAGTTATTAGAAGTGCCAAGAGAATGGCCATGGCCGGCCACTAGCTCTATTTATAAGCCCACAAGCAAATAGAGCCGTTACCCCTTTGGAGCAGCTTTTTGCGAGGACACCGGACGCGGTGCCCCTCCCAATGATCACTTTCCAACGGCTAAAAACTAGCCATTAGGGCACCGGACAGGGTGGCGGTGGCACCGCCCTTAGGGTGGCGGTGACCAACCAGCCAACTGCCCGAAAACCCCCTTCTCTAAAAAAATATGGCGATGGCACCGCCCTACCAGTGGCGGTGACCAGGCGGTGCACCGTCCTGTAGTGGCGGTGCACACCACCCCTTCCGCTGCCAGCCTCAGCTCAGCCCTGCTCTACCATGTCTAGGTGGGCACCACCCTTGGGGTGGCAGTTCCACCGGATAGGGTGGCGGTGCCCCCAACAGAACACCTCACTCTCGGCCTCTTCAGCCGGTCACCACCACAGGGGTGGCGGTGCACCGGACAGAGGGTGGTGGTGCCCTAGGGGCAGCAACGCAAGCCCGACTATGCCTTATTTTCTTCACATTTTTCACTATCTTTGCAAATGTGCTAACACTCCAAGTGTTTCGCCATCACGTGCAAGTGTGTTAGCATTTTTCACAAATATTTTTCAAAGGTTAATCACTTCTCACCGAATATGCACTAGGCCTAAAATGCAATGCAAGTATTTCAACACCTAGTGGCACTAGATGATCGAGTTGTCCAATAAGAGCTCCCCTCTTAATAGTACGACCATATATCCTAAATGTGATCACACTCGCTAAGTGTCTCGATCACTAAACCAAAAAGCTCCTATTAAGTTTCACATTTGCCTTGAGCTTTTTGTTTTTCTCTTTCTTCTTTTCCAAGTCCAAACACTTGATCATCATGGTCACCACACCATCATCATGGTCACCACACCATCATCATGATCTTCATCATTGCTCCATCACTTGGAATAGTGTTACCTATCTCATGATCACTTTGATAAACTAGGTTAGCACTTAGGGTTTCATCAATTCACTAAAACCAAACTAGAGCTCTCAACAGGGGCGTGATTATGTGCGGCATGTGGTCTCTATGGAGAAGCAGAAATGATCGTCGGCATGGAAAGGTACCTATAGACCCAACCAAGGCTTTGGCTTGGGCGATTGATACCTGCTACCAGCTAGCCAGTGGCTTGCGGACAACATCCGAGAATGCACCAAGGCAGGCAACACATTGGCACTTGCCGGAGGAAGGATCGGTGAAGATCAATGTCGATGGAGCATACAACCAGGACTCCAACACCGGAGCGACGGGGGTGGTGATACGCAGCAGTGCGGGTACTTTGATAGCAGCTTCAGCTCGCTGGATGGCCTCATTGGGGTCAGCATTATTAGCAGAAGCGGAAGCTCTTCGTGACGGCATCAGGCTTTTACCGCAGGGTATGAGGGAGCAGATTATAGTAGAGACGGATTGCCAGGATTTGGTTTCCCTGTGGAACAAAAGGCACCACCGATCAGAGATCAAGGCAGTCCTGGATGACGTTGAGGAGATGGCCTCCAACTTTAGTTCTTTTCAACTCCTCCACACTAGACGAGAGTCGAATTTTGCAGCACACTTATGTGCCCAACATGCTTGTTCTAGTTTAGATTCTTTTGTGTGGTCTAATCCACCTAGCTTCTTGCAACATGTGTTGCAATTTGATTGTAATAACGCTGTCTAATCAATGAAGCGATGATTCCACACACACACACACACATATATATATATATATATATATATAACTTCAACACCCTAAAGATGCGCCCGATGTTGGGCAGAGTATTTAGGGCCTTGTTCCTATGAAAATAATTAACAATGCCTACAGCTAGTAATATATACACATGAGTTGTTACTTATTCTGAATTATATTTTAATAATGAAAATAAAAGGAGGCCGGCCAGTTTCTCGTTGTGCCGATATATTATACTCCATCATTTCTCAAATCAATCAACTTTTCGATTTGCCTTAAGTCAAACTATTTAAGTTTGAAGTTTATAGAAAAAAATGCCAACATCTATAGCATCATATAAGTATATACACTATGAAAATATTTTTCTGGTGTATCTAATTTAATGATACTAGTTTTGTGTTATAAATATCTCCGCGTCCATTTCTATAGATTTATTAGTCAAACTTTTAACTTCAGAAAACTCTAGAAGTTGATTGATGTTGGGACGAAGGAAGTATAAGCTTATATGAAAAGGCATATGTAACAAGAGCCAAATTTGGCAATCTAATTATATTGTAACAAGTTATGTGTTCTAGTAACAAACAATCTTGTACCCTTTACTAATCATATCTTCATGACATACAAATTTTAGTTATTAGAACTATATTTCAGATATTTTGAAGCAAATTATGTACTCATATATATCTAACCTAATTTGTAACACCGTTGAAGAATTTTTTTCTTGCTAATACTAAATTAGAATATGTATAATAATGTTTTTAGGGAATGAGATAAAACAAGATAAAAAAAATTAAAACGAACACTAAGACCAAGGTTCGTTATAAAAAAACAAACATATATAAGACAGTTAATAAACATTCAGAAGATTCTTCCATCATTCCACGCGCACACATCTATACAGTCTCGCTAGCCGCATGACAGACTATAACTGGAAAATCAACACAGCTCAGGCTAGCTTCCAAATGGTGCAAGAACACCTACATCTACATATCTTGCAGCACAATCTCTTGTCAACACCGACGCATTTTAATAATCCTCCTCTGTCAGGCGCACACTCTCAAGCGGCACAAGCACAGAAAACCTAGAAGCCACCTTTTCCAAAGCACCTCAATCCCATTCCTGTCTCCCCTAGCTATCTTCTTCTTCATGTCCACTGCAAGTGCAAGGTAGGGTATGATCCATCCGAGAAACACCAATTTCTGCGCAAAAACATCTACTCCATCTAGTCAAATATAAAAGCTACTATATATATTCATCGATATAGAGAAAATTATCTCCTCAATCTCAATTCATTTCCATCTTCAAGCATGAAGCATGCTACTGCTACTGCAATAAGCATCCAGCATCAAAACCATCAAGCAGTTACTAGGACCCTAACCCTACTAGTATCTAACCCTACCCTTACTATGATCTCATGCTGTGTTCAGTGAATGGCCTGACTATGATGAGCTAGGGAAGAAGATCAAGAGGGAGTCAGCGGCGGAGCGGATGACGGCGGCGGCACGGAGGAGCTGCAGCTCGCCGGCTGGGGTAGGTGCTGTTGCAGGCGCCGGGCCAGGGTCGGCGCTGAACACAATCACGCCGTGCGCGGCGTGCAAGCTGCTCAGGCGACGGTGCGCGCAGGAGTGCCCCTTCTTGCCCTACTTCTCGCCGCTGGAGCCGCACAAGTTCGCCACCGTCCACAAGGTCTTCGGCGCCAGCAACGTCTCCAAGATGCTCCTGGTAAGTCCACCAAATGGATCCATGGCGTTTTGGCCGATCTATACTCAACTTCTTCTTGGAGTTAAATCATGAAATTTAGTAAAATGTTTTTACTTCGAGGGGACTATTTGGATCTAAATCTTAGGGCCTCTTTGGCACGGCTTATGCCAGCTTCGGCTTCATCTATTTTGCGCAAATCGAGACATTGTAGCGTGAAGTCGTTTTGTAAGCCGGAGTTAAAATGAACTAGAAGCCGGGAAAAGCCAGTTTTTCTGGCTTCACCGGCTTTGGCTTCACCGGTGAAGCCGTTTTGGATGAGCCGTGCCAAAGGGGGCTTTAGTTACTCTGAGAGGTACACCCGTTTTTTGGCAGTGTCGTGATTCAAACTGAGTAGTTCTTGACAAAATATATAATTTTGATGAAATATTGAGGCTTTATTAATCACAGACGACCTGTGTACGTTCATAACCCTATAAATCCCCTTTTCCATCTCTTTGGAATTTGTAGTAGACCACTACAGTTTTTTTTCTGCCGTTATCATGTACTTGTGTTTTACGTCAAATTGTCAAGGTACCATTTTCAAGTTTCAAAGAGCCTAGGGTACTGATTTTGAATATTTTCCCCTTATATTGTTATTTCTGTACGCTAGCTCAAAGATTCGAATGTTGAACATACAAATGATTTGTCTTTCGCAAAGATTTGTGAGATTGTTACACATTGAAAATATCCTCAGTCTGGATCCCATTTTTATCTCTCAAGAAAAATCTGGACTTGCGCCGCATATATATGCAGCAACTCAAATGTTATGCAAGTTAAAAATTATCACGTTTCTGGACAAAAGGGAAATGAATCAACCTAACAATCTCAATTTCTTGAATCAATACAAAATGTTTCTGGCGCCATGTTCATCTGAAAACAAGCACTTGGTTCATGGCATATATATGAATACTTCGTCAGGGACTCACACTAGTCCCTTTTGCTCATCAGCAGTTAGTTGACAACTAAACCTCAGATCCTTTAGCAATAATCTATGTATCACCGTCAATCACACTGTGTACTGCTGCATGCTGAGCTGCTGACTGACAATGCACACCTGCATCTGCTGCATCATCAGGAGGTGCACGAGAGCCAGCGCGCCGACGCGGCGAACAGCCTGGTGTACGAGGCGAACCTGCGGCTCCGGGACCCTGTCTACGGCTGCATGGGCGCCATCCTCACCCTGCAGCAGCAGGTGCAAGCGCTGGAGTCCGAGCTCGCCACCGTCAGGGCGGAGATCGTCAGGCACAGGTGCCGTCCGGCGGCGGCCGCGGTGGCTACGGTGCTCCCCTCGTCGCACGCCTCCCAGCTCCTCGCGGCCTCGGCAACCAGCCGCGGGCTGCACGCCGGCAGCAGGTCATCGGTAGGGGCAAGAACGGCAACTTTGGCGGCGGCGGCAGCTGCCGTGGGGCCTGCGGCCTCCTCCTCGTCGTCATCGGCGGTGTACGCCGCCGCCGCCGCGTCGAGCTCAACGGACTACAGCTCCATCACCAATGAGAATGTTCCTTACTTTGGTTGATAATTGAGGTAGAAGTGGTTGCTGCGTTTCTGGTAGAATGTATTTTTGCCTCTTTTTTGTCTGTAGACCTCTTGTGGAAAAATATTGCAATAAAAGGTTTTCCTGGCAGAGTAAATATGTTTCTTGTGTTCACTTTTTGTTTTGCAAGATTTGTTTGTCATTTATTATGCATCGTCCATGTCAGGATTTGAGCTTAAAACAACTCAGGTTCTACAGTGCTAAGGAAAACAATGCAGATCCTAAGTGCTAATAAACTGAACAGACTGCAGGACCATGCCGTCCCTGTGTCATTGTTTCTTCTAATTTTTTATTATTATTAATCTATCTTATTTCATTACCGATCCATGTGAGTTGGTAACAAGATCATCGGTACACAAATATTCAGTTTTTTTTTTTTTTGTAATAAAGTCAACGAAGCATTTAATTGTGGTTAAAAGCTCTGTTTCGGAAACTCAAGCTCACAGGGTTAGGAATCGGAGTGCATGTGCATATAATACTCCACTACATAGTGTATGTATGTTTGACTGCATTTGGATCTCTGCATGGAACAGACACCTCACATGCTTGTCTCATGTACATTTCATTTTCATATACTTTTCCTAGCCTCTCATTTATGTGGCACAAAGGCAAAAGATATTGGCCCGTTCGCTGGTTTGAAACTGGCTGGTTTTGTGAGAGAGGAACACTGTAGCGGCTAGTTGATGAATAGTGTTTGTTGAGGGGGATCAGCCGACTGGTCTGGATGGTCCCGACCAGCGAACGCGCCCATTGTTTAACAAAACTTTGCATCTCTCCGTACATGACAAAGTTTCACTTCAATTGCTTATATTTGGCATCTCATTCAGATATCCAACAAAAATAGAGCATGAGAGTGAACGCGAGTATTCAGTAGCAGTATGTCAGGACCATGGAATCATAAATGGTTAGTGTTAATCCGTATACACTTCCAGCCGAAATCACTCCTAACAATCAATGCCCCTAGCACTGGTTACGTCCTATGAGTATGATGACATCAACACACCATCAACATCAATAGTTCCTATCTGAATCTATAACTGCAGATGCCTCTCCACATACATCTATACAAAGCCTCATGTTCCTGAAGAGTCCCGGTTATAAATTTGAGAAGTGTTTGGGTGTTCAGAGTTTGTCAACGTGCAGAGAGCTTTCCATACTGGAACCAGCATTTTGACAGGAGGACGAGATCTCTGCATGATTAAGCTTGCTATTGGATTGCTGAAATTCGTTTTCAATTAACCAAGATATGAGAACAAGTGCGAGCTTTACCTGGAAAACTAGCAGGAGTTCCTCTTCATCACGCAAAAGCAGAGCCAAGCTCCAGTAACAGGTCACCGGTGTCACGCACTCATTTATCAGTGGCTTCAGAATCTTGCCAATGGGCACAAAACGATGATCAACTCTTCCACTAAGAATCACAATTTAAAATTCTTAATATAAACGTTGACAATTGGAACCAGCTTCAAGCAGCCTATATCCTTCCCAAGCAAAAAGAAATAGCTGTAAATCCCACGCCTCTCTAACGCGAAGTCAGAAAGTGCATGGTTAAGAAAATCTGATACTCTTGCCTATATGATGTCTATTCAGTACAGTATACCAATCGTGTTAAAGCTATAGGGAATATCTAGCAATTGTCGGACAGAGCCCAACTCATACTTCAGAAACTATTTAACTAAATAATTTGATACTTAGTGCTAATCATACACAGAGTCCAGATTATGCATCCCATATTCGCATGGGGTCAGTTTTGCTCATAAGACTGGGCTTCATTCAACAGCATGGTTCTAGAGGAAAGTTCAGCCTAAAACATATAATAGCTACTTGATGCATATCATTTATCATGCATGATCAGTGATCTTGAGCTGCCAGTGTGTGAAAGAGAATGGATTACTGTCATCTCTCTATCTCGTTTTGGCCAAAATAAAACGGACCCACCCCCATGTAAGCTGATACTGAAGAGTCCGTATACAGCACTCAGCACAGAGCTGCTGAAAATGAGACCATTGATCTGCTACTTTGCTGGGTAGCAGACTAGCAGTGACCTCAAAAAGAGATTGCACTCCAACAGTCAACTTGAATGATTGGCGGTAAAAATATTCAACAGACAAAGTGGTCATTTTATTTTTGCTACCTCCTTTCTCTCTTCATTTTTGTGTGGAATTCTATTTAATGCATGGCATGGTACAGTCCCTACTCCAAGAAGTACAGTAAGCTGCCATTCTCCAATTATCAAGGACCGTGGATATACACAATAAGATAGAGAATGGGACAGACAGTAAGGGACTAAAATGGAGCATGATCTATTATTCAGGTAAGGAATATGCATACCTCCAAAAATGTATCTCTAGCTGAACCCCAAAAGCTGGCATTATCACTACTGATTCTGCACACACAAACAGGGAAAGGCAACACGAAATACAATCTCAATTTCATGCACAAATAAAGGAGGCAAGGGAACTTTAAATTTTGAAGTATGCAGCATCTGACAGTCAAACTAACTATGGCCTATTACTATCAATATGTAGAAAGGTTATACAAACACATCTACGATGAAGGACTCACCTCTCTTCACAGGTTTGTACTGCAAACATTTGGCGACAAGAACAGCAAAGGCAATATTCCAAACTGATCCAAGAGACAGGCTCTCCTGCGATGTTGAAGCAGGTCAATTTCCACTATGTATACCAGTCATGAAAATACAAAGTTAAACAAAACTATGATGCATTTTATCATATATGCGAACCTATAATCGTAAGGACGTTATTAAAAAGATTAATACAACTTGATGATTCTCGTAAGTTCATTTCCGTAATTCCGTATCAATAAATATGTGAAAAGAAGGTAATGTCAAACTGTGAAACTGTTCTACATAGACACGAAATTCGGTGGCTCCAGGTCTGTCTACATTTCAGTGAACTAACCAAAGATCATGAACGAAGCACTTATAATAAGATTCTTCTGGAAGTATCTGATCATTTTCCGCACCAACAATTACAAGAGAATTGTACCTTTGTCAGCAATGGTTTGCAGACATTCGCAAGAAGGAAAATAATGCCAATGTATGACAGAACAACCCGCAATCTGCTCCTCTTAACAAAGATCTCGTGGACGTCAACTCCTATGCTACAATGATGCTTGTAAGTATACATGGCATTAGATACTTCTAGTTTTTGTTCTTGATCCATGGTCCCTGGAGATCCTGAAACAACACTGATGCGTACCAATCAGGCACCAATACAATTAACTCAACAACGGACAGAAATATGAACCAAACTACTATAGAGGGAAATATCAAATATCTGCCTCCACCGTACAAATTGGGGAGGCTGTTTGGACAAAATTGAATATGCACCAAATTGCGAAAGTCATCAAATAGCCAAATAGCTTTAAGTTAGGGTTTGGGTGCTCGGTTCGCACAGCAGTAAGGGAAGAGAAGTGGTTGGAATACCTGGTGGGTGCTAGTCGCCGGCGAAGAGACAGACGAAGGCCTGGGCACCTGGTGTAGGGACGCGGCGGCGGCGGCGGCGGCGGCGGCGGCGGCGGTAGCACACCAGTCGTCGGAGAGAGAGAGGAGAGAGAGAAAAGAATGCACGCGAGGGCAAACGGAAGGGCGGATGGGGGCGGACGGCCTTAGCCCAGTCCGGGGTTGTTCGGCCCAGGAGAAAGCATCCACACGGGCGTTCTTGGGCCCATTTTCACGCATTTCTTTTTACATTTTTTTATTTCTTTTTATTTCTCTCTTTTTTTAGTTTTCATTCTTCTCGATTTTGTATCTATCCTCTCAATGGGACATTATGCTAATGGGAAATTGGATTCAAATAACATAAACAATAATATTATTTATTAGTGCATAGTAAATAAGTAAAGGATTTTTTTATATTTTATTAAGGTTGAACATTTTTTCTATTGAAGCTAGAAACCCTAGAATAATTTCATGAACCTGGAATGTTTATTCTCATGAAGTTATAATATATTTATCCTGGACTAGAATCAATTTTATTTTTGTGACATCCAAGTGAACATGAATTTTTTTATGCTATATAAACATGGTGAACTAGGAATATTGTTATACTCAATAAAAAAAATGTTATGGGCTCATTAAAAATTCTTCAAGTGCTCCAACGAGAACTAGTGAAGAGTATCATCACTTCAATATCTTGTGAAAAATATCGAGTCTTCCTAACCTTCTATTTGTGTTTTGTAGTTTGCTTTCTAGAAATTTTAATGCTAGATAGGGTTAAAACCTAGGCTGCCAAACAATTTTGTGTGTTAGAATAGCCACTGTCAACATTAGGTGAATACGGCTAAGTGATATAGTTGTATCCAACAAATTTTTTTATAAAAAACCCAATTCAATCCAACCCTTATGGGGAGTATTATCCTTTGGAAAGAGGAGAGACAAGAAGAATAGAGAAGAATAAAGTAGAGGTACATAGTAGCATTAAGCACATAGCTAGGAAAGATCGAATCCAAGACAAAGGTAAATGGGTTGAAAGAGCAAACCTCGTCATGATGGTTGAAAAAAAAACAATAATGTCCATCAGTGGACCTTGAGCACTCCAAATCCAAATTGGGGGGAGGGTTTCAAGTATAGATTGAGTTGGGGTTTGGTGACGGGGTTTCTCTATGATGTTCCTAAGGTCCTTTGGAGCTAATCAAGCAAGGTGCACTGTGAAGTCCATGCCCACCTAAGTGAAGCTCGATCTATGTCGACCAGTGGTGTTTTTGCTAAGTGGGAGCTATCTACATTGATCTCTATGGTTTCATGAGTGGTTGAGGGTGAGATTCATCTACCTTAAGCCAAGAGGTGGATATGGTGATTGATCTTGATGGATGTCATGACTCCTCCTTCTTGCTTCACCACCAATGTAAGGGGATGAGAGCACTCCTTGCTCTCTCCCTAGCAATGATGCTAATTCATTGTGTTGCTTATGCTTGGGCCATCCTCCGATCCTTCCCCTTGACATCCCCTCCTTCCTTTCCTCTTTGTTGGGGGTAGGGGAGGCTATGCCTACCCCCCTCCATGTAAAAAGGCCTAGTGCCTAGTAGGTCTGAGGACCTTCATGTAAATTCGTGAACTATATGGGGTGGGGAGGAAGATGCATCCTCCCACCTCCCATATAAATAGAACCCAAGGGCAAGGGGGAAGAGACTCTCTCTTCTCACTCTACTCTCATGTGTGGGACTAGCTCCCTAGCTTTTCCTTGACCCCGTTGAAGGTACCTTCGTCCTGGTGAAGGTACCTTTGTCCGTCCGGGTGAAGGTACGCGTGAAGGGCTATAACCCAACACTCTTTCTTTTCCTTGTGCTAGGGCTCTAAGTGTTCTTGAGGAAGAACTAGAGAAATAAAAGGAGGGATGAGAGTAGGAGAAGGAGAGTGTGTGAGAGGGGTCATTCTGGTGTTGTGCTTTGTGTTTTGAGGGTACCACGTTAGCTGACATGTGGGACCAAGGGAGATAACAGCTTGACAACTCAATTTTGTGGCTACTATGTGTTCTAGTGGACTGTCTATTAAAATGAAGCTCTAACAGTCTCTGATAGGCCTGGCACCTCTTATGTTGAACTGTTTGCCACTGCACATTAGTACTTAGTTTGCCCATAAGAGGCATAACTCATAGGAGTAGCATGGACTATGAGAGATATCAAACTTACTGTACTTGCAGACTTACATTGTGATGATTGAATGTTTAACTAAATCTGTGTTGAACCAGATCCGTTGTAACTTAACTACTTTTCTTACTAGAAGAGCTTGTGTGAGCTATGTAATGCCTTCTTATGCAACAGATCCTGAGTGTTATGTGTATAGTCGATAGAACAGATGGTGTGATTCCAAGGATGGCCATATCAGTCATATTGAATTGAGTGTGGTCAATGTGGCTACAAAGATGATAACAGTCAATAGTGAGCTTATAGTTTTCAAGTATGGATTGGCTCTCCATTTTGTTTTTGTAGTCCTACATGATGAGCATCGTTTGCTTGACCTTTTTTCTATTTTCTAACATAATAAAGGAGATTCAATTAATCACGAACACGTATCTCCGATATAATCAACTAGAAGGATACCTCGCACGTTGCTGCGGGAATCACAGATGAAATTATACTACTTGTATTTACTTATATGAATGGAGAAATATCATGATGCATGATAGTGGATGATGTAGACTATGAAGTGGACAACTAAATATATGTTAGTGAATGATGCTGCTTAACAATATGAATAGCTTGAATGAAGACATAATTGCATGTGCTAGTGGATGTTGATGTGGACAACTTGTATGGTGACATAGAATGTTAGTGAGGATTGAAAATATAAATAAGATATACAGATACAGATACCGATACAGATACAAATATAGATATAGATATAGATATATTCCAAACTATAGCTCAATTTAACATTTACATAAGTCATACTTCTCTAACTTTGAAATTGATTTAAAAATGTATCAACATCTAGATCACAAATTTGTTTTCATTAAATTCCACATGAAATTTATTTGAACTTTTATTTGTCAATATGTTCTCCTAAAACTTGGTAAAGAAATTAGACTAAGATTATAGCTTTAGAGAAGATATGCAGCTTGGCAAAGTTTTTATCAAACTCACCACGCTTAGCCGAAGATGGACCTTATAGAAAATACCCACAGATAAATTTCAAACTTGAGAAGAGTGGGGGAAGTCGAAGGCTAATTAATTCCCAACAAAGCACATGCTGTTTTCTGCTAGGAACAGAGTATGAGTTTGTTCCATCGAAGTTTTAAATTAACCTAGTGTTTGCTCAGAAACTTCAAAAGATTGTTCTAGAAAACCTCATGTTGCTCTCCTTCCATACATCATGCATGCCATCAAGCAAAGGCACATATGAGAAAAAAACATTGCAAATTTAAAACAATACAACAAACAGTGACAACAATAAATGAAAAGCATACAAAAATGCAAAAACTCATTGGTCCAAACTTGTGAGCCCAAATTTCATCAAAAATAGGTTTAAAACATAAAAGTTATGTTGAAAATATGTTTTAAGGCATTCTCGCGATCAAAAACCATGTTTTTAGGGCTTTTAGACCTTGTTAGGAACACATGATTTTCCCCATTCCTGCATTTTTCTTGCGAAATGAAATTCATTCCTATGAAATTAAATTGATTCCTAGTTTTAAACTAAAACAAACAAAGAAGCATAAGGTGAGCCCATGTATATCAGAATCCTAATAAATACACTCATGCAAGGAAAAGTCATGCACTTAGACCGAAGAACTACAATAATCATGTTTATAGAAATCAAATGCGAACCAAGCAATAAAAAATAATGTAAAATTTTGTCAACTTTTTGCAAATTAAGGCTCTTCACGAATGAATAAGGAAAACACTTTTTTTTTGTGAAACACAGACACATGTGCTCAGATACATGCATGCACCTAGGAAAGACTGGGTAGGACTAATCTCGAGATTAATAAAGTTACCACAGACGTCTCGTTGTCGACAAATATATCACCTACACTGAAAGAATATCATGGGAAATGTGAGGACCGCCACATTCCTCCTTAATAAACTAACTTAAAAGGCACATCAGCACATGTGGTGGGCAACTCATGACAAGAAGAGAATTCTACACCCCTTCGTTTCCAAAAGGAAAAAAACAAAAGCACCACTACAAACAAAACCATCATACTCTAACCACGGCCCTAACCCCAATTATGAGCAATGTTTTAAATAGTCGGTTAAGGTGTTTAGCGGCATATCTCTAAAACAGCTAATAGCTAATAGCGGAGCTATATCGGGCTATAGCGGGATATAGCGACTAAATTGTAGATAAACTCAAATAGCGGCACCTTATCTCAAAAGGCTATAGCGGGCTACAGCGGCCGCTATAGCAGGAGATTTAAAACTATGATTATGAGCCATAAATGAACAAAAGAACATCCTAGTCTGCAAACCACCAATGGTCTACACTACTCCTCTACTACTCAATCTCTTGCAGTTGCAGGCCTTCAATCATTGACTAATACTGAAACCCCAAGCATCATTAGTTGTCTTTTGGACGTAAACAAACACAGACGAATCAAATTGGTAATACTAAAAAGATAGGACATGGGAATCCGTGCGTGATTTGGTGCGCAGCTTAATTCGTGCAGCAGCATGTGTGCGTGTGCGTTTGTTTTCTGTGCCCGATAATGAGTAGCTTGCTGTGGTGCCTGATCCAAGAGCTCACGCCAGTTTATTCAGTTCAATTCAGAGCTTGCATGTTCCATGTAAGCAAACTGCTAAATATGTGTTATCTCCCATCTACTGATGCATGTTCCTTGTCGCTGATGACCAAACTCAAAGCTGTCAAAATGCAGGTTGTAAGCAAACTTCCTTCTGAAAATTTTGCAGGTTACCTGAATTTTCTACTGAAAGTTTACTGCTATTACGTCTCAGATTTCAGAAAAGCCAGCAGCAACACAATAGTTACAAGCTTTGGATTTAGTATCTTATTGTGTTGAGGACTGAGATATTTTGTTGAGCAGTCAGTTTCAGTAGAAATTTGAGATCAGAACTATGTAAAGTTATAAGCTACTGAAGATTTAGATCTTCGCCAGAGTATTTCTGGAGCATGGATCGTGTGTTCTGTCAGGACAGGGCAAGCAAGAGGTCCAGTTTTCTGTTTCTGCAACCACAATATCAATTATTGGTGATTGACATGACAAGACCTCACTACTATGACTACTGAACTACTGTGGTTTGTCTTTTCTAATGTAAATTTTGTATTGGGTTATTAGCCAATGGGCAACATTACTGATTGTAGTTCTGTTCTTTTTGTTTCTGGAATCAATATCAGAATTCCTTTTTTGTGTAATGAGAATGATACTTTTCATTTTCAACGGTATTGAATATATGTTTGCACAAGTCAATAACATAGTATTAGGAATGTTTGGAGTGCAAAGTTCTCCACCAAAGACTAACCGAGTTTGTGTCTAGAAATGGAAAACATAATGCTATTAATGGAGGCACTCAGTTACATATATAAAAATCAGGAACCAATTTTCAGAGGCGAAAACAGAGGGGGCAAAGCCTGCACAGATGACACGATTCATAAACGTTAGACGATCTTTCTATGTAAAGGGAAAAGCAGTGGCCATCACTAGTGCTCAAATTCTGCAAATGTTTTTCCATACAAAATGAATGGTAGGGTCATGAATTTTTCTCTTTTCCTGGCCAATTTAAATAATTGCAATCGTCCTCTAATTGTGTAAGCTTTCTTCTGGACCAGTTAAATGCATTTGTGGGGGAGCCTTCATCGTGTAATAGTACGGACAGGACAAATTCATGGAGGAAAGCATCATCTACAAAGATATTATAAACATAAACTATATACCCTCTTAGCTGTCTTTGCTTGAAAACGTTGCTTGCTCGGTTGTCTTTTTTCTCAACCTCCTTATAAAATCTAGCAAAGCAACCCTCTAATCATTCCTGGTCAAATGATGCATGTCTCCCACTATTAGTTAGCAAATGATGCTGAGAAACTAAGGTATGATGGAAAATCAACAAAGAGTATACTATTGATTAAGTCTTCATTTCTACTCCTAGTAACATCATCCTCCCTATCTTGATATGTGAGAACATAGCTTGCCTTTGGTGGATTAAGTGCAGTAATCAGTGGGATTAATATTAAACATTGGGTATCTTGAAATCTGTATTCAAACAGAACAACTTGCATTGCAGGAGTATTATTGTTTATTTTGATGAAATATTTTTGAGCCCCTCATCATTTACTCTCTTCCTCAACCACTGCACAAACCCTGAAAATCAGGAAGACAATTGCAGAGAGCGAACAAGAACAAGAAAGATCTGACAAGTGACAACCCTCCCTCTCCATTTCCATCATATATATATGTAGGAAGGGGAAAACATTACATGGATATACAATTACCCCCAAAAAATTAAAAGCACTCACTAGTTAACCACACAAAGTGAGCAAAACACCATGCTGGTGGTGGTGTTACATTGCATTAGCCCCCCTTGATTCACAAAACCAAAAATAAAGAAAAGAAAAGAAAAGAAAAGAAAAGAAATGGATCCACTTCTGCTCAAGTGTCCTCAACAATGCACTCGAGGTGTGGCTTCCATACGACGGTTCTGCAGCCGCCGCTGCGTCGTCGCCGGTGCGATGACGACGGCGACGACCTCTTCTGTGACAAGGCGTCACCCAACTCACGGCGCCCACTGCTCTTGGGATGATGAGCGGTCTTGCCTACCACCGCAGAGGACGCCTTCTTGACCACCAGCTGGTCGCCGTGCGAGCCAGCGGCCTGCAGGACGGTCTTCTGCTGCTGCGGCTGCGGCTTCTTCTCCGGCGGCACCGACGACGCCGGGATGAGGAAGTATATCTCGCCGCGCTCCAGCTCGGAGTCCGGGGACACGATGAGGATCCTCCGCACGGCGACGCCCTGAGAGCACGGCTTGCTGAGCACGTGGTTCGGGTTGGCGGCCAGGATCTCGCCGGCGGCCACCGGCCGGCCGTACTCCTCGACGCGGCCGTTGAGGTGGACGATCCTGATCAGGTCCAGCGCGCCGCAGGGGAGGACGCAGGCCAGGCAGCACCTAAGGCTGTTGCCCATTGCTAGCTATGTGTGTCTCGATCTTAGCTTTTCTCTCTCTGCCCTGAGTCGTCTGTCTCCTCAGTCCAGCCTCACAATGCAGGGAGAGGAGACCATTTGTTATATAGTGGCATGGGACAGCCATGGTTGCAGCATGCCCAAGGTAGCTACTAGCTAGCCACCCCAGACCCCACACCCATGGGGTGGGTATTTTTGCTTGCATTGGGGTTGGTCATGCTCATTTGCTTGCATTGCTTGGAGGGCAAAACTAAAGAGGCCAAAGTTAAAGAGAGGAAATTATATATTGTGTATAGTTTGGTGTAGAATTTAGAAAGAGTTTAGGCTTCTTAATTATGAGGAGGAGGTTATTAGATTAGAAGAGGGTCTCTCATGTCATGTGTTTGATAACCTTATCTATAGTACTCATCTAATGAGGACAAGGGCACTACAACAACACCCCCCATGTTCACTACTACACGTATATTGTATATTTCTTTTATATATGGGGCCGACTTCTTTTTATTCTTGCTCTCTATCTCTCTCTTCTCTAGCTTGCCTCAATCATTATTCTCTGCCACACTCATGCACATTATTCATGGCCACGCTGGTTTGCTGTGCTTTGGCTGTGCACAATGCAATGCAATGTAAGCATGTGTAGGTAGACCACTGCACGCAGTTGGATGTGTAGATGCACCACATGGATTTCGAAAACACAAAATTGTTCAAAGACTAAATGGTATGAGATTTCCGTCAAACCAGTGAAATGTTATCTATATATCAATCAAATTTCTCATCACTTATTATTGCCGAAGGAGAGGATCGTTGAGTCTTTTCTTTAAGGACTACTGATTTTTTCGCACTCTTGTGCTTCTCATATTTTACCATGTGATGTGATGTCTTCAATAATTGTGCTTATACATGTCCTAGACCTCCCGATTGTCGTAATGGTTGGGGGTATAGTGACATTATTTCTTTCTTTTAATTGATTTAGGAGAGCTCCGGCTAGCTAGTTTTGGAAATAAAAAGGTTAACCATTATTGTTATTGCCAAGAATTGTGCGATTAAATGGGTGTTTGGTTCCCAGCCACATATCACACGTCTAAGGGGTGCGGCGCGCCGTATAATAAAAAACTGATGTTTTGTGGCAGAAAAAGCAGTTGCTGCCACATGTTTTCTCTTCACAAAACTTCGCCACAGTTGTGGCGTGGATTTTCGGCGCCGCGACAGCTGGCCGTGGCTGGCAGCCAAACATGCCTCAAGTCCTCTTAGTGGTTGCATCGTCAAATGTTCACGAGGGAGGGAGGGTGGAGTAAGTGAGGAAGGGTTGTATCATGTATGAAAGCAGAAGGATCCACTATCCGAAATAGTAGATTTGCCATGTAGGATTTGCCGAGTGTAACACTCGGCAAACAGCACACGGTATCTATAGTGCCGGCAAACGTCTCTTTGCCGAGTGTTTTTTTTATCGGGCACTCGGCAAATACTTTATCGAGAGCTGAAACCGCGCGCTGGCAAAAAAAAAGGAACGTGACGGCATGGAGACGGTCACAGCGCGTTTGCCGAGTGTCGAGATTTGACACTCGATAAAGCAGACATTTTTGCCGAGTGCCCCGGCCCTGACACTCGGCAAACTTATTTCTTTACCGAGTGCCACTAACGGAACACTCGGCAAACTTTAACGGCCGGCACACTAACTGACGGATGTCCACATGGTAGTTTGTTGCGAGTGTCTCTCTTTTGCCGAGTGATTTTTTTAAGCACTCGGCAAAGAGATTATTATTTTGCTGAGTGTGGTTTTTGTAGCACTCGACAAACAGTTTTTTTTTTTGCAGAGTGCCTGATAGAATGCACTCGGCAAATATGATGTTTCCGGTAGTGATCACGTTCTATTGGTGAAATATTCGCCAAAACCCAAAATCGTAGTTGAGTAGAGTGAGCAGTGGAGCCATGGACAATGCAACCACAAATGAAATGTGTACTGTGTGTAATTCTGCAAAGACCATAGATTTGCGGAAAAGGTGATCTGCATGGGTTTTTGTGCCGCCTAGCTTGATTGGATAATAACAATGAGAATGCAACCACCGTTGTCCTTGCCCATAAAGAAGCACTTCGCACCATGCACCGTACCTCTGTTATAGCAAAAAGAATGCATCACGCATCTTGATCGGGATAAATAACATCCTCAAAGTTACAAAAATGCAGGAGACCCCTTTTTTCCATCAAACATGCCAAACAGCCAAAGTGACGCCGTGTTTAGTTGGTGCCTTTTCCAAAATGGTTAGGCTAGAATCAACATCGAAAAAAGATGCATGCATATTAAATGTTACGAAAAGAAAAACTAATTCAGTTCATTGTATTTGAACTTTTAGCCTAATTTCAATGTTTGGACACTATTTGCCAAATAAAAAGATTGGGGTTAGCCCCAAAATCCAAATTTTGCGAACTAAACAAGGGCTGAGTTGCGCCTGTTACCTATGGTTAGGCTAGAATCAACATAAAAAGAAGCATGCATATCACATTATAGAGTACTTCTCATTGTATTGGAACTTGTACCCTCTCAGTTTTTGAACAAAATCAGATTGTTCATAATTAGTTATTTTGGTTTCAACAGCCCAAATACTCCATGCATTTTTCTCTCAAAATTTGATGTGATGGAGAGAGAGTGAAAAAACTTGCAATCTAAACAAAGCCAAAATATATGTAGGAGACCCACAAGGACCCTATACTGGTAGGAGCAAGGGCCTGTTTGTTTCAACAGGGTCTTCTAAAATTCTTGTCACATCAAATGTTTAGACACATATATGGAGTATTAAATATAGACTAATTACGAAACTAGTTACACAACTTGCGACTAATTTACGAGACGAATCTTTTAAGCCTAATTAGTTCATGATTTAACAACGTGGTGCTACAGTAAACATGTGCTAATGACATATTACTTAGGATTAAAAATCATCTCGCAAATTAGCCTCCATCTATGTAATTGGTTTTGTAATTAATCTATATTTAATGTTCTTTATTAATACCTAAACATTCGATGTGACATGAATTTTAGGAGCGACTAAAGAACCAAACACCCCCTAATAAACTGTTCAGTTTTAGTGAACAAGCTATTCTTCATTAGATCTACAAAAACTGGTGTTACAATCTTCAGTTTTGATTGGAATCACAATATTAACTTTAATCCCTGGATAATAAGCAAATATTAGTCTCTAAACTTCCATTTACAGTAAAGTAGTGCTGTCAGTTCAGTCTGAACTTTCAAGTTAACTTGCATTGGTGTATATGTACCGATAGTTGAAATTAATAAAGTGGCTGGTGTACCACTACTTGCGACAGATATACAGTATTTCAACATAGACTACAATACATTCAGATGTGCATTCAGAATTGGATAACTATTGTTCAACTGCCAATAGTTGAGATAAATAAAGTGCTTTGCATGTGTATCATTGTTGGAGACAGGTATATAGTAATCTAAACATATATAACTGCTCCTAATTAAGAACTGCAGTAAATTCAGATGGACATTTAGGATTAGAGAATCATATATAGTTCAATTATTTGTACTGTACCCATGCATGACGGCCATTAGGGAACTAAATATCATGCATATTTTTTTCTAAAAAAAATCTTTGTTTTCAATCTTTAAGTTAAAGGCTTTCCTTGTGTACGTCTACGTATATGCACTCAACAACCATGTCCTCAGCCATAGAAATGTCTTTTTCTTATACTGCCATACTGTCCAACTAAAAAAATTAATAGAGCCAGATCTGTTCATCATGATTCAATAATCATACAAACTATTTTTTCAGAAATTGTTTATGGACTACAGCATAATATAATAAACAAGATATCGTTTTTCCGAGGCAAATAAACATGTCATAAATCAACACAGAAAAGAAGAAGAATATAGTACTACTACCATATACTAACAAGTAGTTGGTTAGATCTCAGTTATTGCCCTATAGGCTTAGCAGAATTATTGAGACATTGAAGTAATAATAACATGAATTGTATATAGTATATGCGCCACCGTGCGCTGTACTGAGCGTGCGATTGTTGCCAATCTGCTTGGTAAACTGATTGCAGGCCAAGTGGCCGTAAGATATTTTATATATGAATGTTGTGATTTGCAATTTTGGTCAATGCATATGCATTAGCTAGCTACCAATAGGCTAAAGATGTGCTTAGGTACGGTGCCACCGTATGCATTAATCATTTTGCAAAGGGTTTGGATAGCAGATACGTGTGTGTACATGTGCATGACTTCAAGCCTGGTTTGTATTACATTATCTATTATGAGCTGTCGAGTTTTTCCCTATGAATAATAATAACGTAGAACTCCAAATTGGGGGTGTGCGTTGTTTATACTGCCCGCCTCTCCCCCCCCTTGTGCTAACTCGTTATCACTCCGCCATTCTTGTGTGTCTCTCTGCTCTTTTGCTGTCTTTCTCTTCTCCCGCAGCCGGTGGTGTCCTCCACTAGGCTGGCTTGTAGTCTAACGTACCATTTCCTATATAAGCCTCCACCTCTTCTGAACGACAATCTCCTCTTGTGCTAACTCGTTATCGCTGGGCCATTCTTGTGTCTCTCAGCTCTTTTGTTGTCTTCCTCTTCTCCTGCTGCCGGTGGTGTCCTCCACCGGCCAGGCTGGCTTGTAGTCTAATGTACAATTTCCTCTATAAGCCCCTACCTCTTCCGAACGGTAATCCCCTCTCGTGCTAACTCATTATCGCCGGGCCATTCTTGTATGTTGTCTTCTTCTTCTCCCCGCCGGTGGTGTCCTCCACCTGGCTGACTTGTAGCCCAACGTACAATTTCCTCTCTAAGCCTCCCACCTCTTCCTAATGGCAATCCCCTCTCGAACTCGTCACATGAAAGCACTCTAAGATTTTAGGCGATAGAAACCTATGAAATATGTAATAATACATATAGGCTATGCAATTATTGTTGGTATTGTTCTTATGATTTGTATTCGTATATGTCAATATATACTTCGTGAAAGGGACTTAGCTATG